GTCGTCAGTTCTGTGATATGGTGGCAGAACTGACTTGGTGTTTTGCGTTTGATCGCAATTGTTGCGGATAGCAAGAGTCGCCACTGATTTTTCTTTTATCCAAAAGGAAAGGCTGAAAAGAACAGGAAAGACCTTTGAGATGTTTTCTTGAGTTCGAGGGGTAGATTATGCAAAGGGAAGGTATTAGCACCCTTTTCATCTGTAGTTATCTACGGGCTCTTAGTTGCTTGCTAGATCACTTGCTTTTGCTTGAAAATGTGTTTTGTATGGTTTTTTGAAAGTATTTTGAAAAGGCGTCATCGTTTAGGAAAACTTTGTAATGATTCCATTTGTAAGAATGTATACAAAAGTGTTGATCTTTTGAAAATGTTTTCAAGTTTGAAAGTTATTTTTTAAAGTGTTGGTGTTTGTTTTGAAAATAACAAGGATGTTTTTGGTTTGAAAATGAGCAAGAAACTAGGAACATTCTACCTACTCAAAAGTCTTTCATGTTTATTTCCTCTTTCCTTTGACATTGTTATCTTACCATTGATTTGGTAAGTAACCCTATCTTTAGATGTAAAAGGGACGGGCATGGGACGTTTGTATAGTCATAGAAGGCAACCTATGGAACATTTTAGCAATGTCGTTTTAGGGACTAGATCCTTTACCGAAGGCAATATTAAGGGTCATCGAGGGACTACGATCTTTTATCGAGGATCTTTGCTAAAACGCCCATATTCGAGGGACATGACTATTTTCCGAAAGGCAACAAAGTGGGGTTACCCTAAGGGTGTTAGTGTGCAAGTGTGTTTTATTTACATGTATTTAGTCTTGATTAGGGTTATCTATTTGTTGATTTCATATCTTGCCATACACACCCTAATTACTAGCATTTATATTTAAAAAGCGATAAATTGCGGAAATATAAAGTCCTACGCTATTATAATATTTAGGGATGGGGTACAAATTTACAAATGAGGGGTTGCGAGAATGTAAATCCTATTTAACTATTACAACCATATTGAAATGTATAATGCAAGAAAGAAAAAGGACTTGTTTTGAAAATGGCTTTTTGTCTTAATGAATTAAGAAAAAGAAATAAATTAATTAATAAAGAGAAAATATTTTTATATCCTTTTTTATATTAATAAAAAGGGTATTAATATTGAAAATGATAAAAGGGAAATAATGAGAGATAGAATTAGCATGCTGCTGAAAGCAAAACAAAGGGGATCAGAAGTTCTGATGCCGGGCGCGCTGTGGTTCAGAAAGAAGTGTCAGAAGTTCTGGATTGATACACTTTGAGGTCCTATAAGAAATGTTAGAGGGAAAAAACAGAAGTTCTGGGTTGCTATGTGCTGAACTTCTGAGTGTTAGAATAGTGAGAAAGTCTTGGAAGTTTTGTGTTATTAAAACAGTGAAGAGAACTCAGAAGTTCAATATGTGCTAACAGCGAGTGAACATCAGAAGTTCAGTATGTTTAAACAGTGAGAAAATCATAGAATTTTTATGTATTTAAACAGTGAGGAGAACCCAAAAGTTCTGTGTTGTGCTAAAACCGTGAGTGTAAATCAGAAGTTCTGTGTGTTTAAACAGTGAGAAAATCATAGAAGTTCAGTGTGTTAAAACAGTGAGGAGAACCCAGAAGTTCTGTGTTGTGCTAAAATCGTGAGTGAAAATTAGAAGTTCCGTGTGTTTAAACAATGAGAAAATCATAGAAGTTCTGTGTGTTAAAACAGTGAGGAGAACCCAGAAGTTCTGTGTTGTGCTAAAACCGTGAGTGAAAATCAGAAGTTCTGTGCTACATTTCAACTCTTTCCTCATATTAATCAGCACATCAGCCATTTATTCAGTTCTTAACAAACACCAAATCAGAAGGATAAAAGCACAACAGTTTATAGAAGTTATAATCCTAATTCTGAGCCTAGCCTTAATCAAGAAGTTCTGATCCACAGTTTTTCTACTTATGCAATGATATGCACAACATCAATACTATGATATTTACATATTTTAATGATGTTCTGAATGAAAAGATGCAAAGTCAGAAAGACTTACCTTGAATCTGAAGCGTGTGCTTGGAACTTGAACTGTTGCCTTTAGATGTTCTGGAGTCAGCAAGAACAACGGAAGAGAAAATGCTAAGTTCTTTCATTCAAAGGGAAGAACAAAGGTTTGGTTTTCTGTTTGGGAATTCTGGATTTTTACGAAGGTTTCACAGTTTTCTTTACTCTCTTTTAATGATTCTCTATCTCCAAAATCCAACACCTTGAAAGTGTGATGGAGCAACTCATTTATAGGTGAGTTTGTTATGGTTTTGGGGGGGGGGGGGCAAATGGGATTTTAAACCTTTTTAGCATATTGTTCCATTTCTTTTTAAACACAATTTTCATATGCTAGTTTGGTGTAATTATGGGGTTTGAAAAAATGCAGGCGTGGACTGGATCAGCAGGACCTTGGAGTGTTGTGGCAGGATTGTGCTATAGCAGTGCAGCAGGTTGTTTAAACGAGGTTTTGGGATTTGGTGATGTTCTGATCGCAGAAGACCAGAGTGAGACTCGAAGGGTGATATTTTAACCGAAGTGTTGAACATAGCCTTCATATATTGAAGAATCATGTTATGACTGAAGAGCATCACTTCCACATGTTCTGATTGAAGCATCATGCTCTGAACCGTTTTTGCAAATTCTGACTGCACTTGTGTGGAGGCTGGCTCAGAAGTTCTGAAGTACCATATTCTCTTAACACTTAGAAAAATTTCTAAATGTTTAGAAATTTGGATTTTTCAAAGTAATTTCTGACTTCTGATTTTTGATGAACCAATTTCATGTCTTGATGAAATATAATTGCTGAAACTTGATTTTTTTTATCTAAAAGTCAGAGTTTGACTTTTCAGTGTGCTTTTGACCATTTTTCCCTTGTGAATGATTTTCTTGGAAAATTGTAATTCAAGACTTGAAACTTGATAGAAGCAAACCTGAGGGTCCAGGGTGATCCTTTGAGAAATGAGAGGGAAAAATTTTGGGTACAACAGATGGCTTTCTTAAGGGTATCATGAATGACACTAGAGGGAAAGGCATAAGGGTCTCCCTTAAGTGGAGTCTCTTTACAGATCGAAACTTTCGTCTCTAGGTCATGAAAGGTCTTATCATGAGTTTCTGGTTTAAAGGCCGTACAAAGAGTCATAGGTATCATTCCAAAGTCCTACTTACCAAGAGGATGTCTCTCGAGAGGTATTCCTTTTGTTGAATTCCACCGACTCTAGGCGAAGTCGTCACATAAACTCATAGGGTTGACGTAACCCCTTGGCTAATAGACGAACCTTCTTTCTACGGTTTTTGAGAATAATTTTTTTGCAAAATTATAAATCCCACCACAAATATATAAGTATAATGAATAATAAAAAATAAGCAAGAAAATAAATAAATAATTAAACAGGAAAGAATAAAACCCAAAAATAAAGAAAAACGCTAAAACCTAAAGTTAAGGCTTCTAAACCTAGGGTTGAGTCCCTAGCAGAGTCGCCAGCTGTGGCAACTGGTTTTTAAATCAGAGTTGTCACCCTTAGTTTTTATCCTAAAGGAAGGGAGTATAAAGGAATAACCCTAAAAGAAATTCAGAGATTCTAGGTTTGGACTCGATTCTAGACGAGGGGAAGGTGTTAGGCACCCCTCATCTACCTTGTTCACAAGGATACTAGGTTTAGAAGCGCGTTTTTAGAAAATAGGGTTTTAATTATTTATTTGGAAAAGGGTTTGAATTTTAGTTAGCAGGAAAAGGGTTTGAATTTTAGTTAGCGGGACTCGCCACGATGTTTTGATCGTATGCCTACGTATCCTCTTAGGAGGAATCAGAGTCTTATTTCGTATTTCGCGGTTGGTTTGTATTTTTTATGGATTACGCAGATATTTTAATTTTCCCCGCACTTAATTCGAATGTGTAGGCAACAAAGATTTTAAACTAAGCGCAAAGTTAATTAAAAAACTCTTTGTATTCCTTTTTGAAAATTAATTGTTTGATTTAATTTATTATAAAAATAGTTTGACGTTTGCTTGCATATTTTTATATGTAGAGCGGAGGAGTCTGATATAGTCTCTTTATCACGTGGCCAGATATTGGTCACGTGTCGCTTGCGGATGTAGTAATTTGGTGAGTTGCGCGAATTTTTAATATTTTGATGTAAAATATTAAATTAATTAATGATGAGAGGTTTGTAAGACGTTTTGTTTTGTTATTGTTAATGGTTAATGATAAAATTAATCTAAAAGCTTAAGTTAGCAATAATTTAATTAAAACTAAATGAACTAAATCAAATCATTAAGATATAATTTAAAGGAGTGTAATTAGGAGGGTGTAGTAAGAAGTGAATACTAATATGAAATTGACTAAGCTGGTCCAAGGCCCAAATAGATGTACATGATAACCCTAAAACCTAAAATTATGGTAACAATTAAAAAACAAGAAAATTAACAAAAATTTACTACAAAGTGGGTGGGAGGCGGACATGAGAGGCGTCATTATCTCATATGATTATTTTTCTTTACAACAATACAAATATATATAAATCACATCATATGTCAATTTATATTAAAACAATAAAAGATTAAAATGAAAATCATATAAATTAAATTCGAAAACAAATAAACAAATTACCCTTAATCTTTCTCTCTCCACGAAACCTTCTTCCCTCATACTGCTTTACATTCTTCCCAATTTTCCCCATTAAAACCTTCATCCACTTATGTTATAACCAAAAAGAAAAACCCATGAACACGTGTATATGATAAAGAGAAGGGGACTTCATTAGACCATATCTTTCTTTATCATCTATCACTCTTGTCGTTTTTTACATATCTCAGAATAAAACCAAGAAAACACACCGAAGAAAACAGAGAGAAATCATGAAATCAAAATAAGGAGAAAAAAGATCTAATCTTGGTAGTGGTGCTTTCGAGGTGGTCGCCGGCAGGAGTGGGCTGGGCGTGATGAGGTGCACTTGAGTGGATCGGGGAGATGCGTAAATGGCAGAGTCAGGAGACCGTTGTGCGGCTTCGTCGGATATGCCAGGTGGCTCGCGTGTGGGTCTTCGACGGGACGACTTTTTGCGCGGCGTTAGATTCGTAACGTGTTCTTGTCGGTATCAGGTAGAGAGCGGCGGATCTGAAGCACAAATGTGTTGCTCGCCGTTTGAGGAGGCCAGGTCGTCGGAATCGCGATAGTGAGAATCCCGGCGGCGTTTGAGGGATACGTTTGTTGTTGTTTCGTCGGTCTCCAATCCGACTCTTGTTATTCTGTTTTTTGTAAGAAAAAAAACATTGATACTAATTTGAACTTCTTTATTAATTGTGTTACAATTTTTGCCCAGATTAATGTTGCAATGATTGTTGTTAAATTTTTATTTTTATTTTATTTTTAGGTAATATGATAAGAAGATGAATGTAAAGGTTTGAATGATATTTTGATGTGGTGTTTGTAAGTTGCAGGGCTATGGTGTTCGAATTGTTTAGTTATAAGTAGGAGTGGTTAAAAAAGTACAGCTACTGTATATTTGTATCTGCAAAAAAGCATAACAAAATCACATGGATGGTTATGAGAATTAAAAAATGTGTGTAATGCATGTGTAGAGAGAGTGATATACTGTAACAAGATACGGTTCGAGAATAATAGAGGTTTTTTTATATTTATCGGTCTCGTAGTCTGAAAGAATAATTTGCAGGTAATTTATTATGAAGATTTTGTATTGAAATTATAGTATTACATGAGAAGAGGAAAAGGCTATTGTAAGTGACATAAGAAAAGTGGTGAGTGGAAGTGAATAGAAATCGTGTATTGTTACGCACGATGGAAAATAATTGGCCTCCACAGAAGGTTAGTAAAAAGAAAATATAATTAAACAACAATTATCAGACAATATATTCATATGATAGAAACAATCAATAAACAATCAATAAATTTTAAAAGAAACTACCATCATTTGGTGTAAAAAAATTAAAATAAAAAGGGAGTCTCATATTTAATCATTGACCAAAACTAAAAAAAAAATTAAAAGTAACACTAATAATGTTGAAAAGAACAAACAAAAAAATAAAGTGTATATGAGTGAAAATCGTAAGATTGTGGATGAAAAATATGGAGAAACTAAGGTCCTATTTATAGATAAAAAGAAACATCCAAATTGAAAATAAAACAAAATTGACTAATAAAAACAAAGTGTGACACAAATTTATATCAAATGGTCAATAAGAAATACCTATAAGAAAGGAAAGAAAATTAGTGACTGAAAAATAGAAGAAAAAAAAGAAAATATTAAAAGTGTGGCACAAGATATTCAAACTCGTGACCTCATTCTTGCAAACTTCATTATTTACCAATTATGTTATGTTACTTATTTATAAATAAACTCAATTGAAAATATATGAAGGGTGCGCAAACATTTGCTATTTTAAAAATACAAATAACTTTAAAATGAATCATTATATTTTTAAATAGGTTTGGAAGCAAATATTTATAAAAATCAAATAATATTATACAAACAATGTTTAAAATATTTTTGACTGGACTTGAGAATGAACATCTATAAAAATCAAATAATATTATAAAAACAATGGTTAAAATATGTTTGACTGTAGAAACAAAAGGGCGGGCAAATTTGGGGTATGACAATAGTATAGTGCGAAAGGACTATCATTACGCCACCCTAGAGAGTAGAGGTAACAGAGCATTTTTTGTACCTTTTGTACACCATCACACGTTAACCATTTAGAACTTATTCTTATCTTCAGAGGCTTCAGATAATTTGAATGTTTGAAGCTTGTTGTAGAAGAATCACTCTTAAGTCTTAGAACCTAAGTCTTGGAGTCTTCAGAACTTGTCCTATCAGAACCTCGTCTTCAGAGTCTTCACCACTTTGTTGTAAGAACTTGTTTTTCTTCAGATCATCAGAATTTGTTCAGAAGAACCTCTTCTTCATAATCTTCAGAACTTGTAACACGCAGAAGTAAAGCTTTAGAAGGCCTCCAAAACTTAAACATAAAGTCAGGATCAAAACTTCTTGTACTAAGGTTCCTAAGACATGTTGAATAATATGAATTCCAAAATCATGACTTCAACTGTAACACGTAACAACATGTTTTCATCCTGTAATGTTTATATCAGAATCTGATGACATCACACGCCTTGATACCAGATCTAGAATATTACAGCAGCAACTACACACTAGAATGAAACCATTAGAGTATACAATTGTTCTTTTTGATATCATGTAAAGTTATCATCAAAATCTTAAGGCCAGATAAAGAAACACTTCTTGTTCTTACAATCTCCCCCTTTTTTATGATGACAAAATCACGTATTTTGATAGAAAAATTTATACATGGTAATCACTGTAATCGACAAATTCAGAGTTAAGCTCACTGCTCACCCTGAATTTGTTAATCCCAAAATTTCATTTATGCTTGTTCAGAGTCTCCCCCTGAGCCCAAGACTCACAAAATAAATTTTGAGTTTTCAGAACATAGAAATAGAGAAGGAACACTTCCCTACAATAACTCATCAGAGTCTGACTAAAACACTTGGTCTTTATCTCAGAACCTGGTTATCATCAAAACTTAATGAAGAATCAAAACTTGATTTTGAGTATGATTGAATAATGCCAGCATCATTTATTAGCACTTCTATTTCTCCAATCTAATATCATAACCAAAACATTATATTTCTGGATAAGTTCACTACTTCTCAAGCATCAGCGTTTAATTTGATATATTCCAATATATCATTCATTCAGATAGTTCATAACTTCTGAATAGAGCACACGTTATAGAAGCACGCGTATCAGAGCACATCTTTTGAGTGGCATCTCTGTATCAGAGCATGCATCAGAACATTGACTTGACTTCCTTTCAGGAGAGCACAACTTCTGAAGCTTTAAGTCTGAATTCCTACAATTCAGAAAGTTCATAACTTTTGAACAATATGATATCAATCAAGATTTCCTTACTTTTAGTAAGTTTATAACTTCTGAATTGTGTTTTGTGCATTTGTTTGAATATACATATATTCACAAAGTGTAAAACTTATTATATATGAAATCATAGTTGATTTCATCCATAAGGTTCTCAATCTTAGCATCAGGATCTTCATTTTCAACCTGTCTTAGAATACTCAGTGAACTTATTCAAAGTTCCTGGAATGAAACATCAAACAAACAGTTAGTAACAACAGCACTATATATGTTTGAGTTTAAGATTATGAGAATAAATATTATCAAAATCATTTTACTTTCTCCCCCTTTATCTGAAATCAAAAATTTAATAAAGAGACAGAGAAATGAACTTTGAAGATAACATACTCAAACCAGAGAATTGTTTGGATAAAATTCAAGTTTTAAATTATGTCTTGAAACATACGGTTTAAAAGAAATGTATGGTAAGACTTTATGAAAATGAAAATATTGAGTTAGCACACATAAATCCAATCAAACCATAACAAAACAAAACATTTTATTAATTGAATAGGGAATCACAAGTACACGGGACACGACCTAAAGAAGACAAATATACAACCAGCAGAAACAACCCAAAAAAAACTAAGCTTTGAGAACTTCACATTGAACTTCCTCAAGAACATCCTCAAGTTCATTGCGACGAATGGCTCCAATAATCCTAGCTCTGGTGAAGAAAATAGAGAGAACCCTTGCAAAAGGTATAAAGACCTGGTGCCTAGATCTGGAATTATTGATTGAGTCCCTTAGGTAGTTAAAAATGGATTGAGGTAAGTTGATTCTAATATAATGGATGAGAAATTAGATGAAAACATTGTCATCATAGGTTAGGGTGTTCAGCATTGATCCTCCGAGTCTAAAGTTTGTTAACACAAATTGAAACTAAACGGAAGAAGATTAGCAAGATTGATGTGTCCATATTCATCAGAGATATTATGAATAGAACAGAGTCTATTAGTAAAAGAGTATCAGTTTTGGAAGACTTCTACGGTAACACCAACTTAGGCACAATTAATAGCAAGTGCAATAGATATTAGGGTGGTGATAATGGAGTTTCCAAAGATAGAAGAGTAGATGGAAGTTCCATATGACCTAACTTCAGCATGCATCCATAAATCCTTGACTAGGTTAAGATAGATTGGTCCAAACAACACAGCAAAGTAATTGGACCATCTTTGAGCGTTTATACTCTAAGTAAGACCCATATTATCACCAAATGTCCTTGGAATATTTGGACGACATTCACAGATAATTACAAGAAGATATTCATCACCGTGAAGGATTCTTAAATCCATGAGGAGAGAGAGAGAGAGAGAGAGAGAGAGAGAGAGAGAGAGATGAATGACTAGGGTAAGGTGATGAAAGCTTTAAATAAAGGAAAGGAAAACGTAACTGACTATATAAGAGATATAGTTCAGATAACCGAGAATTTGAAGGATGACAGCTCAATAAATGAAAATTTATGGAGAGAGGTATATACACAAGTTCCAAGACACGAGTCAAGAGACAAGATAGAAAATTATGATAAGAATTGAATATAGCGAGCTAACAATTATCATCTCCAGAAAGGTAGTTTACCAAATATGTCAGATAGTTAAATTGTACACGTTGGTCAGATGAGCAAGCGTATAAATCCAGTCTAACATTAATTAATGAAGTGACTCTTAAGTATCCAGAGTGCATAGATTCTTATAAAAAATATATCTGGCCAAGAATATTTTGACCTTTTCCTTGATAGAATAACTTCTAACTTGTAGAGGTATATATAAGTACTTTGTCAGAAAATATATAAATACTGACCTGATGTATTTTGTCTATGATGAGATCACCTTCATCATCAAACTTGATTCTGATCATCCATTTGGTTATAATGATGGACATCAACCCTGACACATCCTTTCATAATGATAGTCTTTGTAGGATCCTCTTCAAAAGAGTTTGATCATTAAAAGCTTTTGATTGAACATATTCTGATCTTCTGGCTTCTTGCACTTCAGCAACAACTCTATTACCTTCAGACTCTAAAATGGTAATCTCCATACCTGCGAGCTTGTCAACTAGATTTGAATTTTCAGAGTTAAGCTTATCATCAAATCTAACATGAATTTATTCCTCAAAAAGTGAGTGTTTCAGTGTTATATGTTATGTAGCCTTTTGAGAGTTCAGAACATCTTAACATGATACAACTTTGAGCTTTTTAATCAAACTTGTTCAGATTTTGTTTAGTGCTTAGGATAAAACAAGAGCATCCAAACTGATGAAAATATGAAATGTTGGGTTTCTTGTTCTTCCACAATTCATAAGGAGACTTTCCAAGAATAGGTCTTATGGAGACACTGTTCTGGATATAACATTGTGTTTACAGTCTTTGCCCAGAAGTGCTTTGCCATATTGGTTTCGTTGATCATGGTCCTAGCCATTTCTTGCAAAGTCTTAT